CTATTATGTCCTAAGGGTGAAGATCTTTTGTGTTGTAGATAAGCTGGCCCAGCCTTTTGTCTTGTAGATAGGATGGCCCAGTCTTTCTGGAGCTATTAACAAAGGTGGGGGCTGCTTTCCAAGAGCATGTATTTCCTTTTCTCATCCAAGGAGGTATAATATTCTGCCTTTTTAATATTTCCTATAATATTTCATTCTTCTAGGAGGGGGTGGGTGCTAACATCCTACAATCCCCCCTTTTTGCCAAAATATGTGGATACATGGGACCTAACTACCCCTTCATCTTAATTAATTTCAGTAATTTTTAATTTAATTTAAAACTTAACTACTGTTAATGGTTGAACAGTGTTAACCATTCTTGGCATTTAGTGACCATTCAAAGTTACAACCACACTGAAAAAAGTGACGTAGGACTTTGGTCACTTGATCAAAATTCATCTGCTTGGCAACTTATTCATGTTTATGATGGTTACAGTGTCCCAGAGTCATGTGATCACCTTTTCAACCTTCTGACAAGCAAAGTCAATGGGGAAGCGATGTTTCCCTTAATCATGTTAATAACTTAACACTGCAGTGATTCACATAACAACTGTGGCAAGAAAAGTCATAAAATGGGGCAAAAAAATCACTTAACAAATACGTCAACAACAGAAATTTTGGACTCAGTTGTAGTTGTATGTTGAGGACTACCTGGAAATGTCTAAAATAGAACCTGAGCTACCCCCTTATGAGGAAAACAAACATCTTTAGCCTTTCCCATCCAATATTTCTTAGTTCTTCTTTCCTACCATCAGGTTTAAATGACTAAGTCGTCCCTCCTTTTTGGTCCCCATTTTCAGTGTCAGGCAACACTAAATAAATGGTTAGATTTCATTGTAACAGAAGACAGACCATGAAAAACAAGGAGTGAAAGAAGTTCATTATTCCGAAATAATTAGATTCAGTTACATCCTGTTCTACTGCATTACTTCCCATAGAAGTAGTTGCAACATTTTCCAGTGGTTGTGGCCCATGTTTCTATCTCTTTCTCTCATAGTTGCTTTGCTGTCTGAATGGGACAGATTGATAAGAATAGGATGTATTTAACTGAACACTTTTGAAATAATATTCTCTTGGTTTTCGGATGCAGGAAAATGAGAGATGGAAAGGTTACAAATTTGCACTCCTATTTCATTTCTTTGCTCAACATCATAAAGTTTCATTTGTTTAGCATAAAATTGCTCCTTTCATTTTAAAGCAATTTTACAAAGAGCTCAATCAGTGATTTGCTAATTAGCAAAACAACTGCACGTAGAAGATTTCATAGTAGACATTTTAATGAGTTACTTCTGCTTCTGGCATGAATTTGGAGTGGATTTGCATGGAGTGAATATTATGAATTTAAAGAGCACTTAACATACACCAGTACTAATTGCAAAACAAATGCCAATTTAAAAAGATGGAGCAGATTGGAGAAAAAAATAGAACAGAATTGGACTAATGAAGACTGAGGAAAGATTTTAAAAAATAATTAGTTTTTTGTATATACACATATTTCAGATTTAACAAGTAATTGGAGGCTATAAAGAAAATTTGCAAAAGGACAATAATGAGGACTTTGGATTGTTTTATCTACTTTGTTTTGTTTTCCTAAATATATAACATACTCTAAATTATATTATAAGCAAGCTTTAAAACAGAGTGATCAAAAGTTAGGAATATTGTTTTTAAAATGTATACTTTTTAAATACTCAAATACACGCAGTCCTTGACTTGCAACCCCAGAATGTATCATTGAGTGAACAAGATGCCCACATGACCACTTCACTCAACACCCTAATCCCAGTTCCTCCATGGGCGGTCAGGAACTCCTGTAGTAGGCTGCAGAAACAAATTTTGGATCTTTGGGATCCAGGCTTTGTTTCTGCAACCCGCTGGAGAAGTTCATATCCCCTCCATGCATGGAACAGAACCCCCTTTGGTGGGCTGCAGGAACAGAGTGGGATCTTCAAGATCTGAACTCTTTCTCCACCCCTCCCTTTTGCACAAAGGGAAACTCCTTTAAGAGACTGCACTAAGGCAGCACTGATCTTTGGGATCTGACCTCCATTTCTGCAATCCACCCGAGGAGTTCCTTGATAGGTAGCCATCTTACTCTTGAATCTCAGCTCCCCTTTCACTGTCAAAGAGCTGCCTGCTTGCCAGAATCTCAGCTCCGTGGCAGGTGGTAGCAGCTTGCAACCTGGTTGCCCCATTGAATATCTAGAGCTGTGATGGTGAACCTATGGCACGGGTGCCACAGATGGCACATGGAGCCGTATCTGTGGGCACGCGAGCGTTGCCCTACCTCAGTCCAGCATGCATGTGCGTGCTGGCCAGCTGATTTTCGGGTCTTCCGGGCCCATTGGAAGTCAGGAAATGGGCTGTTTTCAGGCCTCCGGAGGGCTTCCAGGGGGGGGTGGAGGTGGGGAAGGCTGTTTTCGCTTTCCCCAGGCTCCTAGAAAGGCTCTGGAGCCTGGAGAGGGCAAAAAATGGGCCTACTAGGCCCACTGTGCCATCATATGCCAAAAGCAGGGGGACAGTGGGGGGGGGTCATGCGTGCATGCGTGGGGGGATGGGGCACATTGAATTATGGGTGTGGGCACACGCACGCGCAATTCCCCCCTCCCACTACCCCTGCTTTTGGCACGCGATGGCAAAAAGGTTAGCCATCACTGATCTAGAGAAACCAGCAGAGAAGTTTGGAAAAGATGATCACATGACGGCGAGTTGCTTGGAAACTGGTCTTAAGTGCAAACAGGTTGCCAAGGACTCAGATCGCAATCATGTGGTCAAGGATGGGGGGTAGGAGCAGCATAATGTTTTATGACAGCCAGCACTGCTTTATGGACTGTAAAGAACCCTTTCTGGGGCCATTGTACCTTTGGTCATTAACAAGGGGTCGTAAATCGAAGATTACCTGTATTTGACTATTTTAAACAGTACATGATTATTTTCACTATTTTTCGGTAATCCTGAAAAATTTGAATATATCTGATTAATACTTTTAATTGAAGTGAATTAGTTTATAATTAAAAATGTCTGATTAAGTAGAAATATATACTAATAAGTATATCACTGATAATATAATCACTGACAGTTCCTATGTAAGCTACCTTTATATTGTACCCTTCTGAGGTTAATAAAATGAGGACTCATATAGTTGGGGGCAATAAGATGACTCTGGAAACTTCTTAGAGAGGGCTGTAAATCTCTAGGAAGTGGTATATAAGTGCTATTGCTATTACAATTTACCTGTGACAGTACTGAAGTCACAACTGACATTAATATACCATAGTTCTTGTTTGCCAGGAAATAAACATATTTTATGAAGCTTAATATATTGTAGCTGAATTGGATTATCATCATGCCAGAAGTTATCTTAAACAATATAACTGGGTTATTGAATAATGCATTTTATGTAATTGTATTGCTTTTTGAAAGTTTTATAATAATTATAAATCTCTGTATTATATTATTGTGCTTTCTGACCCAGAGACCATAATAGAGGTTTGATTGATCATCATACAATCAGTCATCATACATTCTTCATTTTGTTCCTACTGAAACAGCGTTATAATGCCTTTGGATTCTCTCCCCTTCCAGTCTTGTATCTAGAATTAAAAAACAGAGTTCAAAGTGATCTCTGGGGCTGTATGTCTTATAAAGCAAACTTGAATATCATAAATTGGTTACTATTGATCTTTGTAAAACTCTAAATTGTGTACATGTCGGAAAAAATAGACAGGTTAAGATTACAAACTTCAGTGTTCATGTAAAAGCAAGCTCTGTTTAAATGGACAGTTTAATGTTAGCAATAATAATGGAACAGTGTCCCTCGCCACACCTCACAGCAAGAGGCTGTTTTAAGGAGTGAACCTGCCCGCATCTGCATCTCCCAGAAGAGAGGAAAGCCAAGGGTCGACGGGGTGTCAAACTGGCAGCCTGTGGGCCGGATGCATCATATGCAGGCCATGCCCACCCCAGCTCTGCAAATGGGAAAAACATTGTGAAATGTTATGTGATGGCAACGTGACGTGGCGAGTTTGACACCTGTGGTCTACAGAATCTTCCCCCTATCTGTTGCTTGATTTAGAAGCAACACTTTTCTTCATTTGTAGATACTTAAGCCACTGGAAATCCTTTTATTTGTTTGTTTGTTTGTTTATTACATTTATGTGCCTCCCATCTCCCTATCAATTGACTGTGGTACAGTAAGGTACTGTAATTATGTATGGTTTGGTTTTCATGTCTAGATATTTCTGAATATCTCTGAATTGCTAGATGACAGGTAGACAAGTAAAAGGTGACAGGAAATAAGGCTTGGCCCAGAATTTAAGATGTAAAAACTGTTAGATTTAACAGACTTATGGGGAACAATGCCAGCTGTAAAAATAGAATATCTCTTAAATGTAAATGAATTTTGCTTATGCATAAAATGGTACTAGATTTTATACATGTGCATTTCACATATTATATACATTTGCATGCATAAAGTAGCAAATTGTGTATATGCATAGAAGTATCCAGTATACAGACAGATTTTCTTCATTGTAACCAAAGTACCCAGGAAAAGACCTTTTAAATCAAGGGTTTATTGTCTTGCATTTCCCCCCATTTTCCTTGTTTAGGAGCATGCAACCTGCTGCTCTCTAAATGGTTGCCATTGGCAGTCCTGCTGGCATTGATGAGAATTGAATATCTGGAAACCCTTTTTTCTGTCCCTTTTTTCTGTCATCAGGCAGAATTCTTCAGTAATTCATGGTATAGATATTTCCAAATTTGAAAATTTATAGAATTGCACAAAGTCGGTAGTGGACTGAGATACAATATTTTTAGTTTCAGGAATCCTTTTATAATTAGGCATCTGTACAGAATGTTTTTCAATATTTCTAATGTAATTCAGCAATTCAGTATAGCTAATGAATTTGTTTTTGTCTCCTTTCTTTTTAAAATATCACTTTGATTGGGCTTCAACGAAGGAAACCTATGAGAACAGAAGAGAATGGAACAAGTCAAGCTGAATATGCAATGACATCCTGTCAAAACAACAAGACAGTTGATGCTAACAATGCAGTGGCGTAATTTTCAAAACCACCTCTTGAATAGTAAACATTAAAAGCACACATGGAATATGCAAGGTGGGTGAAATGCAGCATCGAGAGAAGACTTATGGCCGAGGACTTCATTTCAGAAATAGCGCACGCTTCAGATATTCTGAGAAGAAAAGCAGGTGACTCCTCTTTGGCTTGCTGAGTGTCACAAAAAGTGGGATTATACCAGGGGCTACTCTGAAAAAGGGATTCACAGAGGCCTACTCACTGCATGCTTGTTCTTTTGAAAGCAACATTGCAGTGCCCCTTCTTCCTTCCTCATCTTTGATTGACTGTTTATTTTTTGAAAATGCTTCAGCGATTCTTTGATGATTAAGAGAGTGATCTATTCAAGACGGTAAAATACCATAATTGGGCTTGCAAATTCAAGCTTTGCATTTTTCTGTTTCTCTACAGTCATTTTAAGACCCACCCTTTATGATGATCATATTGTTAAAGTGGAAAATTTCCATTCACTGAAAGGGAACATCCCTTCCTGCCCAGCTGCATGATTTCATGGAATGTATCCCCTCCTACACAATCTGATGACTAGATACAGATGCCACTACTACAGACATAAAGGAATTCAGAATGTCTTACAGCAATTAGCTTTATTGATCGAAAGAAAAGTGTTACCTAGGATAACATTTTTAAAGTGTTTTAAATACGGTTAATCCATAGTCCAGAAACATTTTGGGCCTTAGTGTTTTTAAAAAATCTATATTTGGGTACATCTATTATTATTTTGCAGTTTTGCACATGTATATCCACCACACTAATCTGTAGACAAGATCTCTAGAATGATCTAAAAATGTTTGACTCTGGAGAACAACAAGCTGCAATGGAAACAACTCCTTAAAGACTTTCCTATTCGTTGAGTAGCTCCTCCAAATGAGTGCTAAATAAAGAATTTTCTGTTGTAGGGAAAAAGCTGTGATAGACCAGTCCCCTCTTTAATAAGGGGCTGCCAATAGTGCCAAAATTGCTCTGTGTTGTATCACTTTGTGATAAAGTACCATAAACAGTTTAAAAGCATAATCCAACTCTCCATTGTCACAGTGTCTTGTTAGGCACAGTCACTTTAATTTGTAAAAAAACGACTGATGCTATTACTTGTCCATACCTTGATTAAGAACTTAAAATATGGTTTCTGTCTTTTCTTTTATATGCCTTCATTTGTCACAGCTGTACCAGAAAAACAAAACAAAATGATGTGTCACGATCTGACTTCTTGTCTTGCTGTCAAGTTTCAGTGATATTCTGTCTTTGTAGATTCAAGCAGTCTAAAAGAAGTTCTGTAGTCTAGAATCATGGTATTGTGTCAATCCTAAATCCTAAGAAGCTGGTGTGTTGGCTGAATGTAGCTAGGATTGTCTCCAAGTAGAATTCCAGTGTATTCCAATCAGTTTTTCAAATAAGAATTGAAATAAGAACCTCTTAAAAGTGAGGGATGGGGGACATCTCTGTATTGAATTCTGATACTCCCTCACTTAGACAAAGTCACTGTATAATGCTGTCCCAGTTAAATATGAAAAATGATGGATGGATAAGTGAGTGAGTGAGCGAACGAACGATCGATCTAACGAACGAACGAATGAATGGATGAATGAATGAATGAATGATTTTAGAGCCTTTGGCCAGTCAACAGTATACAATAATACTTAAAATCAATATAGTTAGTGCTGTTGCAGCAACAATAACTTGCCTTTAATAGCAATATAAAATACTTTTGCAACCATTTTAGTTATGTCTGAGCTTGCATCTGCAAGGCAGTAAGTTACATAAAATAAATAACTTATTCCTAGGAATCTTAAAAAGTAATGGTTGTATTTGTTCTTTATATACCAGTAGAGGATACAGTACAAAAAAGCATATTCCCAAGGAGTAAGGGTTGCCAGGGTGTCATTGGTTCCTTATAAATCTCATTTTTAGGATGGATAAGGAAAATTCATTTAAACAGGACGGTGAAAGAAATCCTAAACATACCTGTTCGATATGATGTGATCAAAATACCTTTTATATGATTTCCTGGACCAGGAAAAGATTAGTACCTTCGTTTTAGAATACTTTACAGTTGATTTGTTATTACTGTAATATTGCTAGAAGGCTGTCAGACATAGTTACTTCTGACAAAGCAAAATCGGTGATATCAACATATAATAAAAAAGGCACAAATGTATTTGTCAACATAGGGCAGCAAAGTCTTCAGTTTCCAATGACGCTGCCAAGTCATTCATATAAAAATTGAACAAGATTGGAGTCAAGACACACCCTTCTCTAGCTCCACCTGTAGAAGGAAATATATTAGTTAAAGTGCCATTAGGACTATATGTAATCTGCAAAAAAGGATTTAGAATAATTGCCTTCTGGTCAGTTGTGTTTCCCATAGTAGTCTCCTAGAAAGAGATGAGATGAGCAGCACATAAATCAGCTAAATAATAAATAAATAGAATTGAAAGCTGCTTTAAGCCAATAAAAACTATGAAAAGATTACACATCGATCCCCAGAAATATTTCTCAATGGGATGGTATAAGACCATATGTAATCTATTGTAGAGCAACCTTCTCTGAACCCAATCTGCTCAATCTCCAAGATTTTAGGATCTGCCAGCTATGACTTTAACTCATTTAAGAGATACATAGCATAAAGTTTGCCTACTCAGGGCTGTCTTAATGCCAGGGCCTGCTGGGCATTTGCCCATGGGCCCCACGGGCCTAGGGGCCCCATACTAATCTCTGTATGTTAACCTTTCAATGCACCTTGTATCATATAAATATAGCAACATATTTATTGCATTTTTAAAATTAAAATTAATACTAACATGCAAATATATGTTTAATTTTATCGACCGTTGACATTTTTATTCCTGTGAGTAGTTGTCGTAGGGGCCCCACTACACTGCTTTGCCCGGGGACCATCATGCTGTTAAGATGGCCCTGTGCCTACTGTTGATAACATGGGTACTATGGTGGAATTTTCCCTTTTATTATTGATAAGAGATTTTTCAAACAAAACAAAATTAATATGGAGTAATGCCCACCATTTTGAATTGATTTTAATAAATTCTGAAGGTATAGGATCTGTGGGGATTGCCCTGCCTTACCTATTTCATTTTTTTAATAGAGTCAAGAAGTGTGCCTGGGGGGCAGGGGAGAGGGATTGGTAGTGAGAAGTGGACTCAAGGAAATGATTGTGTGTTTGTAAATTGCAAAAATGTGGCTCTCTCAAGTTCCAGCAGAGATTTTACATAATGGATTTTTAGAATACCTTCCCACAGCCTTGGAAAAAATAGATTTCTTTGCCTTTACTCCTAGAAATATCAAAAACATTTTTTCCAAGTGGCATGACTGGGGAATCTTCTTACTGCCTGCTGTATAGCTTTTGTCAATGTTGCAAACTTGTTATTTCGAAACCTACATCTTACTGTCAGCCACTGTTTATTATTTTTATTTTTAATTTGCCTGGGTTATATATAAAATTTTCTTTACAGTGAGCCAGCAGCATATGCATAAAAAATAAACAAGATTATCATTAAAAAAATAATCTCAGATACCCGTCATTGACATAAGCATATTTAGTTTAACCATATCTTCAAGAGAATCAAGGCCACAAGTATTTCAGATTCCGTCTTCCTACCTCTTGCATCAATTTTGGCTCCTGGATTGAATCTTGGTTTTTGGTTCTTTCAATGTCATTTTTCTTAGGATTGTACTCACTTTTTTTTAGGCCTGCATTTTGGTCAAGAATATTCATCAGTTTCTTTAAATTTGCCTTGGCAACTCATGACCACAGTGCCCCTTCTTACAAACTTTTTTTTTTTTTTTTACCATTGTCATTACATGAATCGTGGTTATTAAGCAAATCTGGCTTCCCCATTGACCTTGCTTGTTGGCAGCTGACTGAGAAGGTCACAAATGGTAGTCATGTGACCCCCCCAAATACATGCCAGTTGCCAAGTACCCAAATTTTGATCCTATGACCACAGAGACGCTGCAAAGAAAATGCAAGGACTGGTTGTAAGTCACTTTTTTTCACCACCATTGTGATTTCCAATGGTTGCTAAATGACTGGTGTTAATTTGAGGACTACTTGTGCAAATAGTCGCATTTATTAATTTAAGAAAATATGTAAAGTAATAGGATATATATATAAAGTAAACCTCTCAGTGCAGTACTAAAATATGTTTTAATTACCACATAGTTTTATGCAGAAAAACATTAAAAAAAATGAAAAATAAACTAGAAATGAACAAAATACTAAAACATTGAGTTTTAAATTGTGCAGCTATTTAGATATTGGAGTGCTCAATTATTAGTGGTAAAACTGAGAATAGAATAGCATGGACTGGTATCATCTTCCATTTCTGGGCTTCATATTTGCTGATTGATTCAGCATTTCTATAGCTATTTCGGTTACATTTGTTAACAAGGCTCTCCATTCTGTCAAGAAGGACTTTATTAGTGGAATTTCAGAATCCCCTGCTCGCTCAAGGAAGTTCACCGGTTGCAGATGAGAGATCAGCAACAAGCCTGATTTTCATTCCTGCTATTCATCTGGATGAGCAGGGTCACTAACAGATTTTGAAGGCTCGTTCCCTTGTTCTCCACCCACTACACTAACTTGGAGTTGATAGGCATTTAAGAAGAGAAGTCCGTAACCTTTAGCTAGTTTATACCACAGTTAATTGTGCAAGAAATTTTCCTTTCTTCGGGGTCTTCAAGGACTGGTATCAAACCAGACCCTATTAAATTGCAGGTAGATCCATGAGAAGTAGAAGTACAAAGGGAGAAAGCAGATGCCAGAAAGCAATAAAAGATCTGCACTTGGATAGAAGTATTTCTTTTAAAGACAATCAGTGTTCACATAGGCAATTCTTGCTTATGTTAAAGATAATACTAGAGGAATAATAAACTTGCTTGCCAGTTTGATGTCCCTTCTTTCCTCCTAATTAATCTATTGTGTGAATTGCATAACTATCACTTTTAGAGGTTTCTCTGTAGCTTAGCTGTTAGCTATTCTCCAGACCTCAGTAAAACAGCCGTATAATGGACCTCCACCTATTTTATTAAAATGGCCATGAAAAAAAAAAAAACCATGAACAAAATAACAGCACCATGATTCTGACAGCTGGTTTTTAAAAAATTTTGCAGAACACGACTGCAGGCTACAATGTCCCTAAACATAAGTGAAAATACAAGAATAAGAAAAGCTGAACTGTATCTAGTCCATTGAAACAACCTCCCCCATCATATTCTTGTCAGAAGTCCCTCAAGGGTTTAATAGTTAGCATAGGTGGCTATTAGTCACTGGAGGGCCTGCCCAATCATTATATTTCAGTAAAAATGTTACTAAGTAATAGAGGATAAGTAAATATGTACATTGTCCAGAAGGGGAAACATTCTTAAGGAGAGATCTGTGGAGAAAACACATAAATTAACATATTTATCTAAATTTCTTCCCTTCTAAATAATATAGTTAGTATCTTGTTAAGTCTTGATGAAAATGGAGCAATCAAAAAGTACATTCAGATTTCTGGGGCTTTCGTTTCCAATTAGTTTGGCCTGTTGTAATTGCAACAGTAAAAATAATATAATTTGGATTCTTGGAGGCAGAATTGTTCAGAATTAATTGCCAATTCAAAAAAAAAAAAAAACCTCTTAAAACCATACTCCACAGTCACAGTATTTTACTCCTCCCTCAATCCTACTTTGAATGTTTCATGGGGATATTTGCACTTTTTTTCATCAGATTTCAATGTTATAATCTGTCAAAAGTATATATTTTTTTCCTAAAATAGAACAGACATGCTTTATAGCATAAACTTTGTATGTATGCAGGGTGCAATTATTACGTTTATGAGAAGAATTTTAGTGAACCAGTCATTTAATTTCAAGACTGAATTTAATAGTTCTGTGACGGCAAAAACAAAAATAATTGAAGTATAATTTTCCCCCATAGGATTCAGTGCTCTCCTTTATTTTGGAAAAAATGCAGCCCCTCTGCTCCATAGTTCAGGTGATGGAAAGACTGAGCAAAAAGTATACCATGTTATATGAACACAGGATGCGAGTTATGTTAGTTTAGCCATCGGTCCATGTACTCTTTCTTTAACTGCAGTAGCTGTTTTCTTGCCTTTTGCCCCCAAGGATGATCCAGGTTAAATCCAGATCATGTCACATGCTAAACATGTTTTACCGCTGAATCTAGTGACGATCACCAGACTGTTAGTGGTATAGCTGGTTTACTGGGTAAGAAGTTAACATGTAAATTGATGACAACTTCATTTCTTTTCATACAATCCAATGCCCAGTATGGGATGGAAAAACATATTTTGGTAATTCCCTTCATACCTTATCTTGCCATGTCAGTGACGGAAGTCAGGTTTGAAAAGAGTAGGGTGGTGGAGCATCCTTCCATGAGTTAATCTTTTAAATGATTCAAAAGATCTTAACAGAGAAAAAAAGAGAGATTGCAGTGTGTCCCCAACTGCATTGCGATTGTGTTGCATTGTTGCTTTCATTCATTAAAAGGATCAGAGTTCCTGTTAAACCTTCAGTGAAGTTAAATAGAAATTTCATAGCGGATACCAGTCTTAATTATTTGCATCTGCTACATCCATCAGTACTTAAAATGCTCTGCAAATCATTTTAAGTCAAAATACCTTTGGGCTGAATGTCTTGTTAGTCCTTTATTCTGAAAGCCTTTTGAATTCCATGTAAGAATGTATTTTCAGAGAAATCTTCATACCGTATTTTCCGGCGTATAAGACGACTTTTAAACACATGAAAATCTTCTCAAAAGTCGGGGGTCGTCTTATACGCCGGGTGTAGTTCTCCTGTAACCAGGCAGACCAGCCCGAAAGGCTCTGACGAGCCTTAAATGGCTCTGGCGATCCCAGCTCTGATGATCCCAGCTGAGTTCCCTGCAACTCAGTTGGGATCGCCAGAAACCACGTAAAAGGGAAAAAGTTTTTTCCCTTTTACTCTGGCGATCCCAGCTCTGACGATCCCAGCTGAGTTCCCTGCAACTCAGTTGGGATCGCCAGAAACCACGTAAAAGGGAAAAAGTTTTCCCCCTCCAGCTTGCTTACCTCAGCTGCTAGTCGCAACGCTTGCCTTGCTTTGCTTGCCTGAATCTATTCAGGCAAGCAAGCAACTCCCTGCCTGCAATCAAGCAAGGAGTTAGGTGTGGACTTCAACTCCCAGAATTCCTCAGCCAGCAAAACAAAGCTGGCTGAGGAATTCTGGGAGTTGAAGTCTACAAGTCTTAAAGTTGCCAAGGTTGGAGACCCCTGTTCTATTGGGTAAGTTTTTTTCCCCTTTGGGAGCTTTAAAAAAAATAGTCAATTGGGTTTTTTTTAGTTGTTCTTTTTTAGACCTAGCCATTTAAAGTTTAGGAAGTTTTAAATTTAGCTTTCATATAAAAATAAAAATAAAATAAAATAAAACAATATTTGTGCAGCTTTCTCAGATTTAGTGCGTTTCTGTAGTGTTTCACTCCAACTACACAAACACACAAAATCTCACAAAGCTGTATGTGGAATTTTGTGTGTGTAAAGTGTGAAAGTTGGTTTTTTGGACTTTTTGTGGCTGTGTGAGGTTCCTGCTTGTTGCAGGGGCCATTTTGGGTCTAGCACAGCTGCTTTTACATTGTGGGTGAGCCAGTTGTGTTGTGTTGTGTGTGTTTAGAGTGTGAAAGTTTTTTGGGGGGGGCTTTTTGTGGCTGTGTGAGGTTCCTGCTTGTTACAGGGGCCATTTTGGGTCTAGCACAGCTGCTTTTACATTGTAGGTGAGCCAGTTGATGTTTTTTAATTTTTATTTGGTGTGCGTTGGAAGAGGGATAGTCTTATATGGCAAGTATAGCCCAAACCCTATATTTTAACAGGAAAAGTTGGGGGTCGTCTTATACGCCCAGTCGTCTTATACACCGGAAAATACGGTACTCTATATTATAGTCACTGACAAATCCAAAGTAAAATCAGAACAGAGAAAACATTATTTTCAAGACAGATGTAATTCTTGTTTTAACAAAAGCACATGATTCATAAATCCAACTTAATTTAACCTTAACATGTCATTAGTTAATTGTGAAGAACAGTTCAAAATGCACAATAAAGTTTAACATAAAAATAGTAAAACAAAAAGAAGAAAAATGTTTTTGAACATCAAGCCAATAAATATATCCAACTTAAAAAAATAGAAAAACTAAAAAATTGGCTTCTAATAACTGCTCTTATTTTAATTGCAATAGAGAGAATTTTGGCTGCTTTCCAAGCCAAGTTGTCTTTTGCTGAGGGGTTGCTTGTTTTTATTTTTTTATTTTTTTTTGAACCTGAGAGCAATATAGGAGATAGAACTGTGTAGATTTCCCTAAGACTCAAGTGGAGGCTAAAATATGTTCTGATATATTTGTAACTTTTTTTCTTTCATTCAATCATGTCTGATTCTCAGAGACTGCCTAGACAAGTCCCTGCAGTTTTCTTGGCCAGGTTCTTCAGAAGTGGTTTGCCATTGCCTCCTTCCTAGGATTGAGAGAGATTGGTCCAAGGTCATCCATTTATCTTCCTGTCCAAGGCTGGACTAGAACTCACAGTTTCCCAGTTACATACATATGTACATATGTTACATACATACATAAATACATACATACATACATACATACACACACACATTATGAGCCGAGGTGGCGCAGGGGTTAGAGTGCAGTACTGCAGCTACTTCAGCTGACTGCTAATTCAGCAGATCAAATCTCACTGGCTCAAGGTTGACTCAGCCTTCCATCCTTCCAAGGTGGGTAAAATGAGGACCCAGATTGTTGGGGGCAATATGCTAATGCTAATGCAATATGCTAATATGCAATATGCTATATGCTAACTTTGTAAACCGCTTAGAGAGGGCTGTAAAGCACTATGAAGCGGTATAGAAGTCTAAACAATAATAATAATAATACATTGGCCTTTGAGGACTACTGAAGATATGCAGTTAAACTGGGATGCTATTATATTATGTTGTTATAACTCTATATTATATTATATAGAATTATTAGCTCTAATTATATCATTGAATATTCAAAACTGTATTATAGTCATCAGAATTTCTGTTATGTATTCTATACATGTCAATGAGCAGCTTAAAATTATTACAAATTATGTTTTCATTTTATTTTGGCTTCTTTCAAAAAAATTTCAATGACAGATTATGTGTTTGTAACATACCATACATGCATATACCATACATACGTATCTTACCTAGAAGGCTGTATGAAAGAAGGTGGGATATATAAAAAGTTTATATTTTGTGGTATTTGAAGCTATTCCTATCAGTAAAATAGGAAAAATAAAATTTTACACTGCAGGGAGCAGTGTACCTTAACAGAGTTTTTTGGAAAGGTTTTTTTTTTTTTTTGTTATTCCAGAATATCTATTACATTACTGTGAATAATATAAAATTAAGATAAATTGAACTGCCTCATATGAATCACTTCAGATGCAACAGACTTGTCTATTATTTTAATGGATTGTCCAGATATAAATCTGAGTTTTCATCAAAACCTATTAAATGAGAATCCATTAAATTGAGATTTCACTGTGTATGCTACTCCACAGGCACAATAATATAGACAGAAGAATAATCATATTATTCATATGAGTGGTTTGTACAGTAGGAGTTTGTAGAAGCTGAAGATTAAATGTAGTGGTAATTTTAGAATTCCTACATCCACTTTTTTGGCTTGACCCATTCCAGATAATCAGAATGAAGACACATGGCAACACCTGGCCAACCCTAATCAATCTAAAAATGTTGCATCCAACCCATCTTACATTAAGATTCAAGGAAGACTCAAGGATGCATGAGACAGTGAGAAGTTGAAATATATATAGAGAGATCCCAGACATTAATAGCATATCACAAGAAATCTATTTAAATATAGATATGTCCATGTAGTTACCAGGAATCTAAAGAGAATCTTTACTGGTTCATAATTTTGGAAATTGTTGTTTCCAAATATTTGGGGGGGGGGGAAGAGGGGTTGATTGGCCTTTACAAAATGATTTGATTTTGGTCTCAGAAGATTTAGACTTATTTCTAAATCT